TCTCTATTCTCAGCTGATAGTGATATTTTCTTCATTGTAATTGCTATTTATCTCCACAAGATGTTGCTATCAAAGGACTAACTTCTGCATAAATCACTTTTGTAGATAGATAAATAAACTCAGGTGACTGAGTGCATTTGGGTAGGTATCATTCCTCCAAAATATGCCCTCCCAAAAAGATGATTCGATGACATCAGATTTCCTAGCTTTCAGGATGAGAGCAAACTGAGATGTTTCATTTCATTTTTGTTAAGAAATGAGATATCCGAAAGTCCAAAATGGCTTTGATCCCAGTTAGTACTGTGACTGAACTGCTATAGCATAGCAAAAACGCATGAAAAATACCCAGCCTGAAGGCAAAATTAACCTTTTCTACTTAAACGGTAATGTTGTGACTTTGTAAACCAGATATCTGTGATATCCAAGACATGATGAGATCAGAACAGGAATGGCATGTCCAAATTGCATGCTGCCTAAAATACTAAGCTTCACAGGGTTAATATACTAGTTTAGAGAATGGAGGCTGCTGCCCCAAAGATTATTGCAAGATTGAGGCCTTACCGTTTTTAATGTGGGGCAAGGCAGGAGTAGCTGAGCTGGTAAATTCTATCTTAAAGTAAGTTGGTCTGTGTTGTTGCTATTGGGCTTTTTTTGGTAGAAACAAGATTAATATTTAATTTACAGTTTTAGGGATTTTTGTGAGGATGAAAGAACTGTTGTCATAGTGGGCTCTTAGCCTGTAATAGTGCTGCTTTTCCAAACTTCAAAAAGTAAACATCAATGCATAAATAAAGCCTTCTTTTTGAATGAAAAGCGTCTCTCAGCACGAGAAGCTGCAGTGGGCCTGTCACCATTTCCTCCATTCGTATCTCAAAAGGCGTCTAACATGGCTCAATCTGCCAGAAGCGCAAAGAGGAGCTGCAGGAGCCACGGTATCATTTTTTGAACATATGAAATGTAACTCCCAGGGAGATCTAAAACTAGCATTTGAAAGCAGACACAGGAGGCGTTGTGGGAAACGCTTCCACAGCCAGATAGAGGGGCAGTTGCAGACAAGATAACAGCCCTGATCTCTTGTGCCTTTTTGTTGTCAGAGGGGTTGGGGTTAAATCGTTAACCCAACTGGTAGCTCCAAGATGTGACTGATCCAGCAAGCATGTCCCCCCCCCTCAAAGCTTGTCAGAGAAATGATTAAGCTTTAAGCAGCTTAAGAGAAGGCTACTGTATACATGAATATTCTTTGCTCTGTACAAACTGGGTTTAGATTGGAAAGGCCAGGCTTTACAAATGCAGGAACTTCAAAACGGGTGCCCCAATGCAGAGGTTTGCATGCATTGACACTTTGAACACTCCACCAGGTGAATCTAGCAGAGTCGTTTCAATACTGGAGCACCTAAAGACTATTCTGGGACCTGCTGAGCGTGGTTAGAATAACACTGAATAAGCACTAACTGAGCAAAACTGGAAGAAAAGTCTGGTGGAAGTGATTAAGACTTTAATACAAGAGTACCAGGTACTTTAAGCTGTTATGTAATAGTATCGGATTGCCACGTTGCTAATTCTGAAAAAAGTCTGTTGAGGAGACGACTTGAGAAGACCTTCAGATGTTGAGAAATACTGCCTCTGTCACTGCTTTAAAAGATTTTCAGCACATGATTTTTGTGTTTTGCCTCGGATAGAGATATGCCTTGTACTCAGAAAACCTTTCTAAGATGAAAAATTAACATACAGAGCAAGAGAATAGATTTGTTTTTTTGTTCTTTGGACTAAATCTGGCTGTGGTCATGCTGGTATACGGTGAGGCTATTAGATACGTGGGCTGGTGCTGGAAAGGCTTTTAAAAGTTTATGGTGGGTGAAATTAACAGATGGGTGGTATAAGGCCATATTAATCACGATTCACACCGAATTTTGAAGGTCTCTACCCTGCTTAAATTTGCCATTGGCAACACAGTGAACTTAGCTACGAAGATATCCAGACAACATCCAGTAGTGAACGAAGAAGTTTGAAATTTTTGCAACCTTTAATATTTCCAAGAGTAGAGCCATAAACTGCCTTCTGCTAACTTTAATGTGCTAGCGGCTGTAATGACTGGCTGCTTTGGTCAGGTGTAGGCTTTGAGGTAAGAGTTACACAGAAAGAGCAGAAGTTGGGCTGGGAATGGAAGCTACGAATTGGTGCGAGAGATTATATTTCTCAAATGACAAAACACAGAAAAGAGCTGAGAGAAGAATTTAGAGAGAAGTTTTCTAAATGGAAGTGAAATGCTGAGTTTTTTGTACATGTGAAGATGAGTCACACATGGAAATGGAGCTGCATTTGTATCACTGAAAAGATGATACAGTGCCCCCAGTGACCGCGGGCGGGGCAGTGAAGCGGAAAGCGCAGATCCCCCGAATTAAAAAGCTGTACTAGCGGCCGGGGCGGCGGAGGCGCGGCGCCGCTGCCACGCGGGCAGGAGGACACCAGTGACAGTGAGCTGGGGAGAGGATGGTTGTTATGTGTTGCGAAGAGAAGGAAATTACTGTGCAGGACAAATAAAACAGCAAATACAGGCAGAAGCCCTGGGAAGGAAAATAAGAGCAAGTTGCTGACTACAGAAGAGTGGTATTGAAGATTTCCAGCCTGGGAGCTTACAGTAATATATAGGTTTCCCTGAGATTGCTGCTGTGGGAGGTAGTATAAAGCCTAAAAAGCCTGGAAGCCAAAACCTGAGGAAAAAAAAAAGGGGCTAGAATTAGCTGTGTTCCTCCCGGATTTGATTAGCCCAGAATGAGTGAACTGAGTCAGAGGATGGGGCGCTTCAGCGGCTGAACTGCGTGCAAAGCCTAGCAGGGAAACCTGAGGCAGAATAGCTATAGGGCTGTGTCACGTGGTGACATGCTGCAGACCTGCATCCACCTACGTTGAACTACTTTTTATCCCTTAGAGAGAGGCCTCATTAGCCCTTTTAATTATTTTCCTAAGTGCTAGAGCTCCAGATGCCATTATGTTACGTAAAATGACAAATGTATTTTTAACTCATAAGGCAAGTGAACTTTAAGTTCTTTTCAGTGATACAAATGCAGCTACATTTCAATGTGTGACTCATCTTCACATGTACAAAAAACTCAGCATTTCACTTCCATATAACTACACTCTGTGCACCAGTGATGAGTGACAGTTGCTGTGGGAACCATCACTTTTAATATCCTGACTGGAGCATTCAGCTGTGCAAAGAAATAGTGACTGCCTATTTGGCAGAGAAGGTTGCATTTAATATCAGCACTGAACATTTTGGTAACCATGCCTCTGAAGAGCTGTGGTCTGTCCAGCATTGCTTCTGTCTGTTTTGCTTTGTGGTCTGGCTGACTGTTCAAAACGGGTTTTATTTAGAGCAGGTGTGTCAAGCCTTGCTGGCTCTTAAACGAACACGCGAAGAGAAGCGTGCTGGTACCCGGGAGCAGGGGGAGCAACGCGCCCGCCCCCGCCCCC